GGGGGCAAGGGTAAAAATATTTAACAGCCGCGTGAAAAGACCAGAATCCAATTCCCCACCTAAAGCTTACATTTTTGGAATCTTTTTCTATTTCTTTCCTGGAAAAAAACAAAAGTTGTTGTCATGTAATCTATAAGAACCAGGACTGGACAGGCTGGACAAGAGCATCTCTAACTCCAAGTCAACCAGTTGACAAGAGTTGATGGCTGATTTGGCCATCTACTGCCATCTAGTGCAGTTATCTGTGATTTCCAGCTTCATAAAGTGAACTACAAAGCCAGGCTCACTTATCACCTCCATCAGATGTTTACTTTCATTCTGCAATTTCATTTAATGCAATATTCGCTGCTACCTCTTTATCCCCTGGAAATGGCTTTCTTTCCTTAGTTCGCTGCCTGGAAGGAAACCACTATTTCCCAGCAGTATTATGCAGGTGCACAGTAATAGCCTGAAGAGCTTTACACTGCACGCTGGATTTCAGTTGGTTTCCAAGGAGGAAAATTGTACATGGAACTTTAATTTCTCATGAATTCAGATTATACATGAACTCCACCATTAAGACTAGTCTGATCTGTGAAAATGATAGTGGGATAAATGTCATCAAATGAATGCATTTGAGTAAACATATAAGAAATGGATGAGTGGAAGCCATGGATGCAGGAAATAGCCTCATCTGCAGATATATATGACCGACACAGAACACTCTTGTACAATTAATGAGCAAGCCTCTTGTTTTCTTCTTTGGGTTTTTTTGTTGTGTGTATTGCAATAGGGCTAATTTATGGCGGCTACGGGCCAAGCTCCCAAACAAGCCTTAATAAGGACACAAAGCTGAGCTTTACACTAGCGTGTTGTCGGTGTTAGAGGCTAAAGATGCATCTGGGTCTTCACTGATAATAGCTCATCCTTTCTTTTTCCAGTGGCTTTGATGGCTTACCGTCAGGGCAAAAGTAAACTCACCGGAGCCACACATTAGGGAGCGACAAAACTCATCCATCCCCGTTGCCTGGGCCACAGAATCCAAATATGTGCTGTAGCTTGGCAACAGTGCCCAAACAAAAGGTTCGCAGCTCCCGCCGGTCTGATTTGTCTGACCGCCTCCGAGATGAGCCGACCCGGCAGCAGCCCTGATGAAAAAGGGGTCAGCCAAAATGGAGACCCAGGAGGTCATCGCCCAGTGTTTACCAATACGCTCAACGCACCAGTGAGTCCCGAAACAAGGTTGTTATCCGCCTTCGCCAGAGATACCCAGGCCAGGAAGGTTGATCTGGCAGGCAGAGGTGAGTATTATCACGTTGTGGCTAATAGATAGATAGATAGATAGATAGATAGATAGATAGATATGATATAACTCAAACAGAAACAATGTTGTGCAACTTCAAATTGAATTTTAATTTAATTTAAAAAAATGCTTATGTTATCTCTATGTAGTTAGCAATCCCCCCCCCCGAAAAATACCGCAGGTTTTTTTAAACCACTATTCTAGTGGTAACTACATTAACTACAAACGTACACTTTACCCAAATGCACTGATGATCTCATGAGTCAGATCCAAACTTACCAAACTTACATTAATATAGACAACAGCTATTGACAGATGTGAAGATCAAAGATGCAGACATTGTATGACATATTTACTTACTTATTTACTTATACTTACTTTTTAATAAAATAAACTTAGATATATAACTTTTATCCACAAAGTGCAGTTTGATTTTTAAATGTGAATTTAGTGAAATACATCTGTTATAATTTAACACAGACAACATATGCTAATATAGGTGCTTTTAAGATTATTATTATTATTGTTGTTGTTTTTGTTTTGTTTTTTGTTACAGGCTTGCTTTATTGTAAATATAATGTAATGTGCCTGTACAGGTCTGCAATGTAGCTGGAAATACGTGAGCCGCATTATGGCAGGCAATATGTGAGCAGAAAGAAAAAGACTGCTATATACAGTGTGTACCCTCCTCAGATTCTAATCTGAGCAGAGGACTAGTTCGCCGGTCACCAGTCAGTATCTTATTCAATGTAATAAGATACACCGAAGAAGATATTCAGTGCATCAGACACTGTATACTCACGTCTTTATAGAAAGCCCGGTGAGCACTGCATTAAGATTTTCAGTAAAATCATTAATTGCCAGTCATGGCCTTCAACATTTATATTTTGTGTCCATGCTAAAAACAGGAAGCATTCATGAGATTGTGCCAGTGGGTGTTTGAAGGGGCTTTTTAAAGCCTGGAGGTTGCATTTACTCCCACTTTAATCAGCTACTTTGAGCCTAATAGAGAGCAGCTGAAGCTCTGCGTGAGCCTTCTTGAAATAGCTGCTAGAAACTCACTCCTTGCCTCGCTTTGTACCTGATTTTCTCAGCCTTTGCTGACACATTCAGTACAATAGCTGCTAAGGCCACAATTACGTGAGCATGTTGCAAGTAAATGATCTGTACCTTAAGATACTACTGCACTTGTTTAAACATTTTTACTCTTTGTTGCCACTTGTTAGAAGGCAACACAATTATTAAAGGGATTTTAATTTCAGTTTTTTGGCTCTGAGGGTGCGTTGTATTTTTGTGTCAGATTAAATATATTCTGTTCTTTGCAATACATTGTTTTTGCAGAGTATTACAGCGAGGAGGGAAAACCCTTTGAATTGCGTCTGGTTGGAAAAATAAAGCAGCAGTTGAGCACTGATCCCACTCTTCATCCTGAGTATCCCTCTTCTCTTGGACTGAGAGAATTCACCAGGAAAGCCACAGAAGTTGCCCTTGGGAAGCATTCTAGGGCTATAGTGGAGAACCAGGTAATGTCAGCTACACACAGACAGCTCAACTCATTTGAACCTCATTTTG